AAAATTGTATCCTGACTCATGACTTGGTGAAAGTTCACAAATACTCTAAGTTGACTTTCTAAACTTCCCAAACATATTCCAACAGTAAAGTTTTCAAATTTCAAAGACTATGAAAATAAACAGCATTTTTTTAACATGTAGTATGCAACACACACTAAATATTTACATCTACCCTAACCCATATCTTATTTATATACTTACATGTATTTTGTGTGTTCTGTTGTTGTTGTTTTTTTACATTCTCTGTATTCTCACTGGTCAACACTAGAGGGCAGCATTGTCTGTAATTTGACCTGTTTTACGGCCTAATCAATCAAATCAAATATCTGCGTAGTGTAAGAATAGATTGCTGAAATAATAGAATTAAGATATCCCATCAACGTGTTACAAAGCAAAGGTTTGTATTGTACTTCTCTTGACAAAGATGTGTGAACCATATAGTGATATTAAAATGATTATTTTGCAGTCATACTCTGCAGAGTCTTAACACAGTTAAGTAGAGGAAGGCCTCTTGTTGTTTGAGGACACTTGTATGAACAGTTCATTTCAAATGCCCTGTTTTAATCTGTAATGAATGATCTGTTTCATTAAGCATGCATTGAATATATGTCCTCACTTTCACAGATCAAGGCTAAAAAAAAAACTTCACAAAGTTATACGTCCAAAGAGTTCAGAAAGGAGAGACAGCGGGAAGGTCGGAGGTGTTTGAGGCTATTTTCGAGTGATGGAGGATTTCATTAAAGCAAAGGTCATTCACCGCTCCTATGGCAGAAACACACAGGAACACAAACACACAGTTCTTGCTTGAGAAAAAAACTTTCTCACGGCATGTCTGGCTAACAGTTTCCAGCTGTTGCCGGGCTGTGAAAGCTGCTATGGGAACACACTGGAGGACAAAGAGGAACACAGGATTGAATAATAAACAGACACAGAAGGAGAATAAAAGAAAGCAGGGGGAACATGTTGGGTGTCCCAAAAGAGACTGACTTAGTCTCTGGTGTTTGTGGAAAACTACAGCATGTAGTGTAGCTTGTGTTCTACCATTAGTGTTAGGTTGCATAAAGAATCCATTTGATGTCGGCTTCCACAACATCTTGAATGTTTCCTGTTGTATTTACACACACAATGTTTCATTCCTGATATCTGAGTTAGCTTCAGTGGCATTCAAAACCTGCAATGATGCATCCGTGCAGCTGCCCCGCTCTTGAGCTCGGCTGCTGTGCTGCGGTGAGTCATAACTTTTTTATCTTTGGAGAGCATTACCACAGGAAATCCTCTGTCTCCTTCTCTGTGAGGACAGAGTGTGAAGAGAGAGGTGAGGCCTGGATGTGATGACAAAGAGAGTGAGTGTGTCCGGAGAACAGGAAGTAGATGAGGGGATTCCCTGATGATGAGTCCGACTTAGTATGATACTCTGACCTTTCAGCAGCAGAAAATGGTATGATAGGATTTAATCTAACCCACCAGGGAGGAAGTGAAAAACTAAACTTCATGTTATAAAAAAAAAGGAAAGAAAAAAATAGGAAAGACATAATCTTGAGAACATTCATCAATAATTTATTTTTCTTATTCTGAAGAACCATCACGGCTTCTCATCTTGAAAATTCAGCATCAATTTCCAACAACACACTTTTTGAAAAATGTAAAGTTACTATACAAATTTTTAATAGAAAAAAGAATAAATTAACTGTGGAATTCAGTTTCTTTTTTTTTTTTTGTCAATCAATTCCACTTATTTTTCTACAACACCTTTAATGCATTGTTACAGTTGAACAGAAACTGATAAAATCATGTTACATGCTCTATTGTCTGGTAGGGGAAGTGTTCCAACTATGATTTCTGTCTGTTAAAATAAGCGTCATCTCGCACATCTGGTATTGAATCTATTGAAAATCAATGAAGAGGTGACTAAAGATCCTACGCGACAAAGCAGTAACTGGTCTTTTTTGTAGCACCTGAAAGGGGTTTGTTATGTCAGAACAAAAATAATATTAAAAACAAATACTTGTTCATATAAAATGACACATTGTTAAAACAATGAATTGTGAATGTTAAAAACCCGACAAAAACCTTACAGCGCCCCTCCGTACATACAGGTAGAAACTGATAAAAGAGTTAGTTTTATTTCTCTTAGGAGTGTTACAAAAAAACCTCATACATTTCTATGGAGCACAGGAGATCTGGTACGTTTTGGAGCTACAGAGGAGAGGGGGGGCGTCACACTTCTTCACATTGGGCTCAGAGGTCAGAGATTACCACAAAGTTATAACAGGACTTCTTTTGGGAGGGGTGGGGGGGCACTATGGAGAGAAACGTGCTCATGAAAGTAAGACGCTGAATATCTTTGGGGTCTTTATTTGTCAGTGGAGCTGCAGGGGCATGCACAGGATTACGTCTTCATGAGGAGACACTTTGACAGAGCGAAGCAGGGACAAACTTGCACTCTGATTGGCCGCTTGAATAACAGTATTGTAATTTTTTTTCCCTACAACACAGTAACCAGAGAGTGCTGGTTTCAAATCCTGGTTAAAAGATTGATTGATTTGGTACAGGGTGTTGGTGTGAAACTCATGCAGTTAAGAACTGTCATCTTAATTAAATAGACCAGATAATGGTAGATCGTAACGACTGATGTGACGGCATTAGGGAAACACAATTGCCACACTGATTGTAACACCATTTCACCAGACATAAAGGGCTATAAGATAAAAAAAAAAATCTGCTTTACTATGAGATGTACAATCTGTTCTCTTAAATTAAAACTGTGTTGATTCAGGTTTATTGCAACAATGACGCGACAGTTCTCAACACAAACTCTAGTTAAGGGGTGAATGGAGGGGGGGGGGGGGGGGGGGGAATGATTCAGGCACAGCCAACACATGCAGAGTTCTTCCTTCATACATATCAGATGTGCTTTTTCAAACCTGATCTTAACATTTGATTTTTTGACTGTGATGACTGAGAAAAAAAGTACCTGTACTTCTTTTTATAAGTATTTAAAAAAAAAAAATGTTTCACCTCTGTCTAATGTTTGCAGTTCCCCCTCACACACTTTGTCACAACAAATGAATCAAAATATCGACGTTGGGAAATGTGCACACTCTAATTGTAGGCCCAAGCCCCATACACACTTTTGATGTTGTGCTCTTAAAAGAACGTTTGAATAATCCTAGAGCAGTCTTTTCAGGGGCTTCTCTCTTCTTTTAGAAACGTCTGCAGACTGAGGGGGGGCTAATCATTGTGATTTGAAGGAGTATGAATCTAAATGGAGTCTCTGTTTCCTGTGATGAAAAACAGTACAAATGTAAAGCACCAACATGTTTGGCACTGAAAAACTTGCACTCCCGCATGCTCATAATTAATGTGAGGTGTGGTCACTGTCCTGTGTGTCCGAGCCAGCATTTTAAGTTTAAATTGTAGGTGTTCAGTCATGAGAACAGATGAGGAAACCACAGTGCTACGAGGGGTGCTGACTGATACTCAGCATGGTGAGAACTGGTGAAGAGCAAAGACCAGAGGAGAAAGCCATGAGAAGGTAAAAATCATCAAACAAAAAGGAATGGATGTTACTGGAAATGTCAGCTTCTCCTCTCAGGATTGAAAATAGAATCACAATTTCTTATATCACAAATACTCCCAAATTAAAACTGTATATTTGACTGGCCACAGTAACACTTAAAATGACTTTTTCACCTCGACCGAAACCCTCCCTTACTCCGGCTCTGTACAAATACAAAGTGGAAAAACCAGACTGTTGTGGGACAGAGAAAACTTGTCCAGTGACATTAAATAAACATGTATGATGAATTCACTGAAATGAGCATAGGTTAATGTCAACCCCAATGACAACTCTAAATGATCCTCATGGTTACTCCAGACCTCACAAGTCTGAGAACAAAGGCAAAGAGTCGCTTCAACACACTCTGTAGTTTCAATCCAGCTTGTGTTCTTTGTTATTGCTGTAGTCCTCGTTTAATATCCCAGAAGGAGTCCCGCGAAACCATCCTGATGCCATCCCTTTTGGAGAGAGTACCAGCCCAGGGACCCTGTTGGACCGACCGGTTAATCCAGTAGGTGTCTTTGGTTGTGGGTTGAACTGAGAGGAGTTGAATTTTGTCATCTCTAACGTTGGGTGATTTCTTTTGTTTTTTCAATAGTTTTTTGTCATCTTCTCTTCTTATAAATATGCAGGGATGAATAAACAAAGAAGAACAAACAACATTAATGATAATAATGGAATCCAACACAGTTCATTTGGGCCTTGAAATATATATTTTTTTAAACTGGTGGCTCAAATCCAGCAGGTATCCTCTGATTGGGTGGCAGTGCACTGGCGTCAATCAATGAGATCAACGAGGGACCAAAACTGAGATATGATCATAGCACGACCGATGTCGGGTTCAGTTGATTTGTATGATTTATATTTCTCTGTGCTCTCTCTCTTCCCGTCGCTCTTTCTTGTTGTTTGCGTGTGTGCTGAGAGTGAGTGAAGAAGGGGGCTCTGTGGTGCTGCAAGGATCAGTCTGACAGCTGAGGTGGTACTTCTCAGTCTGTCTTGTGAAGTCAGCCCTCCTCAGAGCTCAGCGAGTGTGTGTCCCTGTCCAGCTGAGCTGTGGAGAAAGGGGCTTAATAAAGAGGTGGTGAGATGGATGGAGGACGCAAGGGTTAAGGGAGGAGGGAGGCTCATGTCCAGTCCTCCAGTCCAGTCAGGATAGGGTTTTTTTTGTAGGGCTTTAAGGATGAGGTTGTCAGTTGTCAATGAGTAGTGGTGAGGGACAGTGGAGACGCAGTAGGAGAGGGCAAAAGGCCCTTTTCTGGGCCCTTCAGGAAAGGTCTCAGACCAGGGTTCCGGGTTTAGCCTTGTCATGTCCATACCACTGCACATCTGCCAGCTCTGAACACAGGGGGCTGCTGAGAAAACAGCTGTCACTGAAAGACCTATAGAAGAAGAGATCATGATGTTACTTACAAACACAGGCGTTTTCACTTCAACAGATAATCATAAAAAAACAAATACGATTAACTTTATGATTTCAAATGTTAATTTGATCCTGAGTCTGTTTTTTTGCTCATACAGCACATGATGACTTATTTTTTCATTAGAATATCCTGTGAGGAATATGCCACACTGTCACAGCACAGAGCAGAGCACATGCAGAGATCAGATACAGCCAGTCAGAGAGATACATGACAGATACCACCACCAGCCAGTGAGAAATTGTGCACATTCCTTATAGTCAGCCCCCTACAGTTGATGGTGTAAATCACTGATCTCTTTGAGAAAAAAAGGTCTAATTGTGACAACAATTGACACTGCTGTCTTTTCATTTTTTTTTTTGAGGATTTTTTTGTCTCTGTTTATGCCTCTGCTGTGCTTCCTCAGAGTAAACATGTAGTTTAGACCCCAGGGGATGGGGGGGAGAGACCACAGACAGTACCTCTATGCATCAGAGCTGGGCTGAGGGGGAGACTGACAGACGTCCACAGTAGGAGAGCTGTCTGCTGTCCCTCTAAACCAGGAGAGAGGACACACACACAAGGAAAGGAGGGTTAGTGAAGAATAGAAGAGAGGTGAGAAAGAAAGACGTGTATTAGGGTAGTAAGCACATTTTCTGTGACAAAAAAAGGTTATCAGAGGTTTGTGAGAAATGACTGAAAACAAGACGGGAAGAGAGATGCAGTGAGTGAAACATTAGCACAATCAGCACAGAATAAAAAAGCCAAAGAGGAGTTGACATAATTGAAGAACCCCCCCAAATCTCAACAGAATCATTCTGAAAGGATTAGTTCAACAGTAAAGACAAAGTCAGTTGATTGTCAGAGTGTGTGGGGTCGTGAAGGTGAGGTGTGATAAATATATGAGAGAAAGAAGTTCATTAACCGAATTGACATTTGTCCTGATTTAACTTGTAGTTCTTTGACACTCCTGAAAAACTGCAGGAGGAGCTGTATGTGTGAATGCAAACAGCAGAATTTTTCACTCTAATTTTATCTAGAGTTTCTCCTGCCAGACCCCCTAGTATTTTTGAGCTGATGAGAACACAGTGAGCTGATGTGTGAACACAACAGGAGATAACCAGGAGAATTCAACTCGAGCGAGTGGGAGGGGGCGATGACATTATATCCTGTGACCAATGCTTAGACAGTATGCACGAGCCTGGTACGATCTCCTTGCACGTAAAGGTGTAACGGCTTTAATAGTTTGCTGCATTATGTTTTCCAGTATGTTCTGCTGCCATCTTTTGTTGATATTGTGATTCGGTCGAACTAAACATATTATTGAGGTAAAGGCAAATATTCTCATTAAAGTGTTGTATATCAGCCCGTGGCCCCCCCATCCTGTCCGACAGTGATAGTCTCTGGGCTGGGCGGTGCATATGTGAACCAGCCAGGTCAGGAGGAATTCAGGAGCAAGTCCTCCTGAAATGATCTAGATATATTCAGGAGTGCATTTGTGAAAATGGCTGAAGAGTAATATCCAGCTTCACATGTTGGCAACTGGTCCGCTGCTAACTGTGTTTTTGTTTGTGTGAGTCTTAAAATAATCAAAGAAAAAAGAGATCAAGAGACAGTAGAGAATAATTAAATCAGACAAGATTGACAGGCCAAGTTGTTTGTCACACAATGACACTGTTGCCACGGATACAGAGAGTAGTCCTTAAATGTAGTCCGGGACACATGCTTACATACTGCCAAAGAAATGGTGACAAATGTGTTTCAGTCCACCCGAGCAAGGCCTGAGTGATCAGTTCTCAGCGTGTCATTAACCTTTCTTCTGGGTTTTCAGTCCACTTGTGATCAGATCAGTCAATCAAATGTTAACACCCAGGTGGAAACAGGGTATGTGTGTCTCTTACCCGCTCTGCCAGTTGAGGATGTGCTGTGGGCTGCAGGGGGGTGTGGGCGTGGCTGCGTGTTCGCTGGAGGGTGTCATACTCCTCTGGCTGTGAGGGGATGCAGCTATGGGACAAAATCCACAGTTAGTCGTGCTGAATAAGACACAGGTTGTGCAGCATGAGAGAGACATACATGGTCACAAACACACACAGACACATGAATGTACAGGCTTAGAGAGAACACACAGAATGCTGCCTATGGAGAGTTGAAGGCCCAAGGAATTCAACAATGTGTCACTCAAAGGGCTTGGGGGGATGTGACCTCCATGTCACAGAGGCTATTTGCATCGGGGGTTGTGTGACACTAGAGTCACAGGATGCAACCTCACACAGGCCTCGTTGGCGCAGTAGGCAGCGCGTCAGTCTCATAATCTGAAGGTCGTGAGTTCGAGCCTCACACGGGGCACCACTTTTTCCAGGTATTATTCACAACAAAATATTAAGATTTTACAATTAAACAAAGTAGTACGGTTTTACTTACTTTACCTTTTAAACACACTTTGATAAGATTAAAACATTTTAAATAAATGTTATACAGGTTCAAGTTGTTGGAACATCTGAATACACACGCCTTGTTCTTATAATTCTTAAAAACTCGGGACAAACTTGTCCATTTCATTTTCCTGTATTTATTTCTTTTTTATAAAGACAAGGCACTCATGCTTAAGAGATCAAAGTTCGGACGTGAAGGGAGGCAGGGAGTCAGGGAGAGCGGGTTGGGGTCGGGGATGGGGAGGCTTATCGTGCATTTTGTGTGGTCATATGTACTATGTGGTTGACTTAATCAAAAAAACAAATGACACACCCACCTGGTGAGCCCTTGGCAAGTGTTCCTACTCTACTCCCTCGACCATGTCCCAAGGTGCCTTGCTGTGACCCTGTCTCGGAGGAAGTAGACCCCGAGTGACTCCTCTCCTTCAGGCTTCCTGAGGACCTTTGGTACCAACACCGCAGCTCTTCAGACACTGCTACCCTCCCCCCTACTCCACCTCCACCACCCTCCCGCCCCAGTGACGGAGTCCGTACGATCTGAGAGCGCGACGGCGTTAGTCTGCCGCTCCCCTCGCCGCCCTCCTCTCCCCCCCAGGCCTCTTTGTACAGTCCCCCAGCCGTGTAGGAGCTTGAGGTCTTGAACTGAGCCTTCACGCTGTAATGGCCCTCCTGATCGCTCTCCAGGCTGCGCACCACCACTGGGTTTGGGCTGCCCTCCACGTATAGCGGGTACTCCTTAATGCGGTACTGGGAGGAGGGCTGGCTCTGACTGTGAAGGTAGACCCCGTGGTGTCCCCCTCCCATCACACCTCCTCCTGAGCCTCCAACAGAGCCGTTCTTAGCCGCCAGGTTTGGCATGGAGCCAGAGTTAGAGGAACCCAGGTGACCTGCAGACCTATGAGATAACAAAGGAAAACACAGATATTACGGTTTACTATATGAAGTACATAAAGGTGATAAAACTGTTATGTAGAGGGATTCTCTCTTCCTGCCTTTACCTGTGCCTTTGCCTCTGTCTCTGCCTGGCTTTGGAGGGTGAGTCCTCTCCCAGAGTGGAGTAGTTGGGGTTGCTTCCTGGGGGTCCACCAGGGTAGTAATGCTCTGAGCTGCTTTGGCTGGTGCAGGATGAGCAGTCATCCAGTGGGTCAGATCCATTTGAGCCACGTCCTGGGCCCAAGAAGAATTCAGGGCTGCCCAGTGTGCCCAAAGTGTGCAGGTGTGCGTCAGGGTCGGGCACCAACAGTTTGCCCTGAGACTCAAGGCTTGAGCTGCGGTTCCTAAAGTGCTGAGCGAGGCTGTGCAGACGGGTGGGACTGATGTCCACTGATCTGTAAATGCAGGATCACAAAAGAAACTCGTTTTAGGGGGCTGAGCTGACAGAACTACAGAATTAAAAGTAATATGAATATTACAGTTAAGACCAGGTACATTTGGTTAGTTTTACTCGTCACCTAACAAATATAAAAGACACAAGAAAAAGGAAAAAATATAAAAGCCACAAGATAAATCTTCCATCTGCAGGTACAAATGGTACCTGCAGATGGAAACAGTTAACTCATTCTCCTCATTGAATGAATGTAATTGTTTCTTATTAACTGAATGCAACCTGTCAGTGTTGTGGTTGTCCCCTTTTCCCAGTCTATTTTAGTTTTTGTTTCTATGTTTGGATTTTTACCTTAAAGTAAAAAAGTTAATTGGTGCTGCTAGATCATTATCACTGTGACTGGAGTTGTGAGGAGGAGACCCCCCCTGATGGTAATGACAAGTACCTGTTATGAACATGTATAATTAGCCTCACCTGTTTTAGATTGTGAACCTTGCCTGATACACATTTAAGAAGGGTCCTTACTGTTTTCTTATATTCTAAGAATTTACATCCAATGTATTGTGTTTTCCAAAAGGTTTGAATAACTAGTGAACAATTTTAATGTATAAACAACTGACCTTGTGGAATGTACGTAGTGTGTGGTCCTGGTCTTCAGGTCTGGGGTCGATGGCATGCTGGACTGAGAATTCCAGTGAGGGAGGCTTCTGATGGGACTGCTCTGCAGTGAGTTACTCCCCCCTGCTTCTGCACTGCCAGAGCTTGGGAAGCGCCTGTGACTAGACAAAAAGACAATTAAAGTTTGATCACATTTACACATGGTTTCACATGGTCAAACCTTTGTATACTCTGCTGTACAGAGTGTGTGGTCAAAAATTATAGGCACTCAGAGACTGCTGTCACCTTGCAAGATTGAAGTTGTAACATGAGTGCTAGCTTGCTTGAGTTACTCACATAAGAGAAGTTTATAGTACCGTAAGTGCAGCTATTATTTTTTGCATTTAAATGATGCTAGACAGCCTTTCAAACGTATGTTAAACAAATACTAAAATTAAGATCGACTTCCTCATACCTGGAGTGAGAAGAGCGTTTCTTGACTTTTTCATAAGGCTCATCCAGCGATGATTCACTCCACATCTTGGGTTTGATGGGTGATTTATCGTAATCAGAGCGCGTGTAGTGCAGGTGTCGCAGGCCGTCCAGGGACTGTGGTGGAGGAGGCCGACAGTGAGATGGTGGTCGAGGAGGGAGACCCTTGTGAGGCGATGCTACCGGCGAGAAGGTAGGGGTACCTGTAACTTGAGAATCATCTGAAATAAGAGTGAATAGGGTTTAAGTTACATCAAATAACTCATTATGAGAAAGAAAAGTGCATGTATGGAATTGTTGATGGACAATTATGAAATGATATAAAGGATTGAGACTTACCATCATCCAAGACAAGTGCATCGGACAATGAACTGTCTTCAGAACCGATATTGGCTTCTATTAGACAGAGAGAAAGGATTGGAGATCGTACAATTAAAAAATATAAAATCTTTAAAGCCGCATGTTCACAGAACTTTGACAAATAAGAAAAGCTTTAATGTTATAACGTGTCTGCTTCACCAATCAGTCTTATAATCGTTGCTTTGAAAAATGTAGGACTTTCCTGTAATAAATAGGAGTGTGCTGTTACCTTCTATGATAAGAGACGCCCTCTGTGTTGGCTTCTTGCCAGAGCGGACCCGGTGCTCGTTGATAGAGTTCTCAATTTCCTGGAGCTTCTTCAGTGCGTTCAGATAAGACGTCTTCCTCTGCTTCTTCAGCTTCTTGCTGCTCACGTGAGGATCGCTGGCAAGGCGCCTGGCGGCCTCGGTGATCTGGGACTGGATGGCAAACTCCCGCTCCAAACGCTCCAGTTCTTCCTCCTAGAACGAGACATTTGGATTTCTCTCAGATTTAGCAACAGACATTCGGATGCACATCCAAAATCAACAAGGCTTGGTTTGTAGACGCATATTCAGACTGTAACTCTCCCATGCAACATATTTGGTCAGAGACACAAAGCCCTGCCAGAGAAAACACACTGCGGAAGTCGTTTATATCTGTGCTACAGCGGTGCATTTTCTCACCACTGGATATATTCTTTATTGGACACATCGTCCCCCATTAATAACACTGCTACATCATTCCATCCTCTTTTCCTCTTCACTTCTCCTGAGACTTGAGGAGGCAGAGAATAAAATGTGAGCAAGTAAAACACTGTCTTTCTGCAAATGCACTGCAGTGCATGTTAGGTTTACTGCACTGAAACTGGTATCTAGCGACAGCAAACTGAAGGGAAGGACAGTGCTTGTCAATGGTAAAGTAGATTCATATAAATGTGATTGTAGAAAAGTCATTAAAATCCTAGCAGCTAACACGTTATGTGCATACTTAGTATTTGTGAAAACACAGTTTCATGTTCACCTCCAAAGAGACAGAGAGACTACCTCAGTGTTGAGGAATCCCTCACTCTGACAACCCCTCCACACTGCTGCCAGAGCGGCTTCTGTTTCTGTGTGTTTAAGGTGTTGAGTGTGAATTAAGAAACATCTTTTCTGCTTGCAGAGCAACTTTCTGATATTGTGTCCTTGGATTCTTTACAAAGCATACAATCTCAGCAACGCCCCCCTCACCACACACACACATGGCTGCACACATACAAGCACACAATCCTACTATCACCACTTCCTGTGGCGAGAATGCTGCCAGACTATTTTTAGAAAGTTCTGCTGCCCTGGAAAATCTAGCCGTGGCACAAAATACAGCGAGGCGATGCAGAGCCAAACAGTTACAAGGTGCAAGACGTGTCAAGACTTTTTTTTAGTGTTCTCAGTTTACTTTACTGACTTTAAAAAAAACAGTAGGTCAGCCATCATGCAGAAAATGTGTGGGTATTGTGAAAGAGGTTTTCAATTAAATTTATCCTGAGCACCTCTTAATCTGCACTTTACAATGTTTTAGTGCCACACTCTGATAATCAATTTATTGTTCACATTGTACCTGGGATGAACAATCGCTTTGGAGTGAATATGACTTACTCCATTTACTGCAGCACAGGCACTAGTGCAGGTGCAGGTATTTGTGGTATTATGTTGCCTGTTTAGTGAGTGTAGAGATTGGAGGGCCTGATAAAGTTTGAATCTCACCTCTCCCTTCGGAAGAATTTTCTGCTCATCCAGCTTAAAAGCAGTACCAATCTTCCTTCTCACTGTGGGTGCCTCCTCTCCCGGATCCAAAGGATATTCCTTGGGAAGCTTTCCTGTCAGTTCCTAGGAAACACGCAATAGGGACAAGAAATGAAATGAAATTGAGAGTAAGAGCTGAAGAGCCTTCTGGTTTACAAGATGTTAAAAAAAAAATCTGTCTGTGTTTTCTCATACCGCCTCTCGGATGCAGATGCTCTTGAGTTCCTCTAGTCTCTTCTTTAGCGTTTCCTCCAGAGCTTCCTGCCTGGCCCTCAGGGCTGCCAGCATGTCCTTCTTAGCAGTCTGGGAGCTGTCAGATTCCTGAGAACCTGCAGGTTAAAGACAACAGATAACATCAGGAACAGAGTCAGGACTAAAGATGTGTGTGTGTGTTTGTGAGTGTGTTTAATATGTTTAGATTGTGGGGATCCTTGATGAGGCACAATGTGGCCATGGGTAGAAAATTGTGCGAGCACCTGCTAGCTTCGCAGGATGTTTACAGGGAAGCGAATGGAACGGTTCGATAAGGAAAATGAGTTTCAGTGGTGTGTTTGTGCAAGTGTGAGTGTTTGGAGGAGGAAGTGGCAGATTAGGACAAAGTCTGTGACGCACAGTCTCCAAGGCCCTGAGATGGTGCCAGGCTTGTTTGCAACATGCACCATGCACTGCCCCAAACACACATTCACTTTCAATGTGGTTAACTGTGCTGTCAAAAATTACAACCAAAAAACTACTTCAACTTGTGAGGGAAAATATGTGTGATTAAAAAATGGATAGTTATACATGTGTGCACAGAAATCTTGTTTGATATGGGTTGGAAGTCAAACTAGATGACGAAAAGGTGAAGAAGAGAAAGGGGACGATAAAGTATGGATAGCTGAAGAAAAGGAAATAGAGAATGCTTGTGTCAATATTGAGAAAAGAGAGGGAGAAAAAAAACAGAACCAATCTAGAAGATGATATGTATGAAGATCAAAGTGAGGAGAACACACAAAGAGTTACTGATGAATATCATGTTCATTAATCGATTGTGTAAGGTTAGGGTCACCCTGCATCATGGACATGACAGCCATGTAAAGATACATGTGACTGTTTCTTTCATTTTTATCTGATTCTTTAAATGATGCAGTGTTTTGTTAAGACATATCATTTACAAGTTATAATGCAGCAGTCTGTGTCACACTCATGTGTTGAACACACAAGAGCATTGTTTAAAATGGCTGTGATAAAGTTGTTCAATGACCCACTTCCCACTATGACCCTATAGATTCCCCTCACCCACCCAAATGTAGAATGGGCAGGGGGCCTCTGGAGGATGAGTGTGTGTGGGTGGGGTTTGTGTACAGTACACGTGTAAGAACAGAATCAATGGCCTCTTTACAGAAGCAGCTGTTTCTGTCCCTCCAGTTGTCAACGAGACTCCCCCTCACCCCCCCCACACAAAAGACACATACACACAGATATGAATCCTTCTCCCGCCCAGACTCCTCCACTGTCCATGTACTGACCTGAGGAGAGCAGACTGCCACTGCTACCGCTGATGATCTTGCCTTTGCTGCCCATGTTGGCCAGTTTTGAGGTCTTCAGAGTTCCTGTTTCTGTAAGGTCTATAGCGATCTCACTCAAACTCCGCGCAGCGTGGATCTTAGACTTGAGGGAGAAGAAAGGAGAGAATTTGTCAAAACCCCTTCGTGAAGCCACTTAAATAGCAACACTACTTCTGACCACGCTTAATGGACTGATTTATTAATCATATCTACTGTAGTGTGAGCATTTTGATGGGACTGACCTTGCTTTGCTTGCGGTCCAGGTAGAACTGGTGTTGGCTGATGGCCATGGCCCAAATGGACTTGATGAGTGCGGGACAGGCGTACCAAGTATGCACAGCGATGCCACTGTGACCAAATGTCCTTCTGGTCACAGACGCCCTACAGTAGAAGCGGACACAAGGCCTCCTTATATACACTGAATACAAAAAGATAGCTACATATCCACACACATTGAACACACTCCTTTTAAAAGCACCACAGCTAACCAAACTGCTACGGCTGCTCTTAAAGGACAGAGCATGCCACACACGTTGTTTCCCATTGTTTACTCATCCTTATTTAAACACACATCTGTAGCTGAGCAACAGACCAGCTCACACTAATGACAGCTTCCTTTGAAAAAAAAACAAAAAAAAACACCAATGCTCCCTGTTTCACCCTGTCTGTCTCTTTTTTCTCCCATCCCTCCCCCCCTGTCTGTAGAATAACACTCTACATATAGAGCCATGTTACACAAACACAGCAGAGGTCGCTTCCTCCGCAAAACAGCTATCGCAAAGCCATCTTTCCTCCTGTGGTCAACTACTAAGGGGTGTGTGAATGTACAGTATGTGTATGTGTATGTGAGTATGTGTGTGTGTGTAGGAGCACGTGTTTGTGCATGCATGTGGCTACACAAATGTGTTAATAATCAGGCTATCAATCCGTGTCGGGCTCCCACGGGACATCCCCAATATCTTGCTCGATTGCCAAGACAAACTCTGCAACCATTACTGAATAAGATTCCTATCTCTCCCTTCCTGCTCTGCACTCTTTGTTGTATGAATCTTACCACATCCACATATGGCACAGCGAGTAATTTACAGTAAAAGCTACTGGAAGGTGTCCAATATCTAAGAGAAAACTCTATCACTTTTACAATAGTTTATCATTTTAAGTCACTGAAATAGAAAATAATCATTCTAGTTATGTAAATCTTAACAATGATATTTAAACTATTTCAGAAAAAAAAACATAGCAGCAAGTTGACACCAGTTTAAATTGTGATATAAATTTACCTTCTGGGGTCATGAACTTCCACTGAAAACTTCTTCTCTCTGAAGTAGAGGTTCTCCAACTGCCTCCATTGGAACACCTGAGGTTTAAGAGGAACAAAAACACACTCTTCAGGGCTGCTCACAATGGAAACATACTTTCACATTATCCATGCAGTCCTCAGCCAAATTCCTCTTTTTCTCTTCGCTGTATGTTCCCATTTGTTTTCAGAGAAAATGAGCTGGATAAGGGATGAGAAGGACAGAAAAAAAAAATAGAGGCCGGGCGAAGAGGAGGAGTTAGGAACATAGAAGGAGCTAGAGGAAGAAAAGGAGAAACCTAGTCTGGAGCTCTCGATCAGGTCCAGACCAGGGCGTTCTTGTCCACAGAGGACCCCCTTTCGCTGGATGACCTCACTCTGGAGAAAGACAGTGTGAGAGGGAGGAGGAGGCTTTCTTTCCCCTGCTTGGATTTTCTCTTTTCCGCCCCCTTTATGAACCATCAGCTCCTCTTTAAATAGAGCCAAGAGCCAGCTGGGCGAGAAAGTTTCCCCAAAGAAGAAGTACTCCAAAGCATGTGTGCGTCTTAAATCCTCCCAGATGGAGGGGAACAGAATCTTACGAGGTGATGGGTGTTCACCATCTGTAGGCATGTGTGTGAGTGAGTGTGTGTGTCGGTGGAGAGCAAGCGTGTAAAGTTTAGTTTCCTCCTCTCCTGTAGCTTTGCTAGGAGGGCTTAGGGAGGGAGGGGGCTTTTTATACCTCCCCTCCTCCTGACCCCTCCCCTCCTCCCTCAGGGACTGTGCTTCCTGCTCTGTGCTCTGTGGTAAGGAGGTGTGTGTGTGTGTGTGTGTGTGTGTGTGTGTGTGTGTGTAATGAGAGGTCAGGGAGGAGTGATGAAGGGGGAAATGAGCTTTATGTATCCCGAGCAATTGAAGTGTCCTTACTTTGTTTACTCAGATCTTTGTGTTTGTGCAAAAGAAGTCTGAGGCTGTTTCTTGTTAGGGAAAGAAGTTGGGCTATTTTAGAAGACTAAGAAGTAGGCATGCATCTATCAGCTGACGTGCAAACACATACACACACACACACACACACACACGCGCGCGCCTTTGAAGTAATCTGGCAAAGCATTTGAAAAATAACGTTTCTAAGCTACATAAAACTGACCCCGCAGGAGAAAGAAACAAAGAAGACATCCAAACTATGACAGGATAAGGGAGGGAAAGGGAGAGACTGAGCTTAGAGGTCGCAGCCCAGAAATGTTAACAGCCTGGGCAAAACAATAGGCAGTGTGATGAGAGGTAGAACAGTGGAGAGGGTAGAAATATAATGAAACCTGTAACTAAACACAGCCTAATGTATATGTATGTATTTATAAGTGTGTATGTGTGTGTAGGAGCATGGGGGAAAGAAAAGCGCAACTCTTACCCAAACTACTCTAGTACATTTTCAATGGAGTGTGAAGTGCTAATGTAGCATGGTGCTAAATATAGCAGGAAAAGGCTGATAGTGAGCGGCTGCGTGTGTTAACTACATATGGGCCCGGGCTGTTGAGATAAGACGGGTGTTTGTAACTATGTTGAGGCACGAGACCACTAATGCTGCACTCTCCACCAGCAGGACGAAGCTGAATCACATTTGAAAAGTTCATTTTAATGTTTCAATGATAAGTTGAACAAAAGTTCAGAGTATATCAACAGCAGTCACAACAAGTAGCTAAGTCACTGTCATGTTTAAAATGAGACGTTTAGGTTTGATAATGTGCTGTTAAACAATAATTGTGTAATTACACAAGACCATTGTCTTAATGACACCTTTGTAGTTTTTATAGAGGACTCTGAACAGCATTAATATCTTTAAAGGCTTTCTATGTGATTTTTCACACTTAAATATAATAGAAATCAAGTTTATCCTCTGAAAATAACTCTGTGAGTCATGACTGTCTACAATGGGTGTAACACCCGAGTCCCACTGTCTGTGATGTTTTCAGAGTTTTCAGAGTCCTATCTTCACTTTGTTTACATCGCCAGGACGGCCGGCTGACTCCTCCCCTCGAGTATAAAAGTTGTTTAATTGAGGGACTAGAGAAAAGAAGAATAACATACTGTACTCACTGCTTAACTGTGTTTCTAGATCACGCTCATTTCAGGTAATTTACATGCAGTGTGAAGATACCAGCATAATAAAGATCGCTAGCATTAGCATGCTAACACAACAATGCAGCGCAAGTTGTTTTGGTTTCATGCTGGAGCTCAAGGGCGACATCTGCTGGATCAAAAAATCACATATAAAGCCTTTAACAAACCATGCTGACAGACGTTTTCTTAAAAACTCAGTCTAGTCTGCTGGGTGCTTCTGTTCTTAGGGCGAGGCTGGTCCATGCATTCGTGCATACACACTATAAATCCTCTTTCCTTTTGACTGTAAAACAATCTCACACAATGGTTCAAACAAGACAAAAGCAGAGAAAGTTCTTCAACATGGCTGCTCATGAACACAGGCCCACGTCTGAGTCACATCCATCCCAGATTAAAAAGGTCAGATCTGATAGAGTGTAAAAGGTCTTTCTTTGCTGTAGTGGACTCCCTAGGGATCACAGGAAGAATAGAGAGTTTAAATAGCGTATTCCAGTAGAACTGTAGTGAGACCAAGATGTTATTCTTTGCTAGAAATGGACCCAAGGCTAAAAAAAAAAGGCTATTGTTTCGCCCATAGGTGGGGCTCCGGTGTGCTATACTTTATCAAACCAGTTGTCATGGAGATATAAATACACTGATTCACTGATGTTTGTGTTTTGGTTGTGGTGTTTTTTTTTAGATTTAACGAAAAGTAATCAGAAAAGGCTGTATGCACCAATCTGGTCTAAATGAAACGGACAGAAGCTGAAGCTGAACTGGAGTGACTGGGTGTACACTTCCTCTTCCTCAATCCTCCACAGAAACAAAAGTCACTCTGCAGTGAATAGCAAAGACATTTTTGTGAAGTTTAATTTAACCCGCAGTTTGTTGGGTTTGACTTCACGCAGCGTCTTCTCAGTGTTGACAGAAGCTTTTACATGAAAGCCCTGAACCGGTCAGTCAGGTGGTCATTCAAACACACAGACTCTATAATCTCTGTCTCAATGAGTCAGATCACACTAACAAGGCATTGGTGTGAATATGTCTGCAAACTGACCTGCGGTAAGTAGAGGGGGGAAGTAATTAAGTATCTCCAAATAAAATTGGAGGGTGCGGTAGGCGGTCTGCATTTAGAAACAACAGGATCTCCCCTCATAAAAAAGACTAATTAAACTGAACTGCCTCCAGCACACACCGACATGTTTATATATGTATAAAGCACAAACTGTAGTTCTTTTTTTAAATTTTGTTGAGAAAGTTAACGATTAAAACTGTGACAAAAGCTGCTAATTGTCTCAAAAAGTCTGTTCACATATCTCTGAGTAATGTGTTACTGGAACTGGAATGTCTGACTAATCACCAAATCAACTGCTTCTCCTCTGATTTGTTGAATAGGGATAACTCTCATGACGAGGATATCGCTCTTAGTGACCTCTTATGAGTGTGTCTTCCTGAACAGCTTTGGGAAAAGTGTACCACCCACTCTTTGTCTGCCTTATTGGTCTGAAAGATCTCAGTGTGTTCTTTGTGACCGAGTAAGTCCTGGATTAACTAGACATGCATTTCAAGCTACTTAAAACTAGAATAACACTTGGACCAGTCATTTTCTTTTCTCTGCTTCCAGAAGTGTGTGTGTGTGTGTGTGTGTGTGTGTGTGTGTGTGTGTGTGTGCATGTGTTTGGTAGGCTGAGGGAGAAAAATGGAGATGGTGATGAGGTCAGTATGGATGAAAAACAAACCAATGACTCCAATTGATGGATCCTTAGTAGTTGCATACTAAAAAAAAATCTTGTGTGGGAATTGTATTAACTTTTTCTGTTTTTCCTCTCTCTCCTTCTCTCTACGCCTCAGTGAAAGCTTAAAACCATTTTACTCTCTGTACACTAACTTTTATATAGTAGATAAGACAGTTTGTGACATTTTTTCCCAGCATGCTCTGGTGCTTGTGCGTCTGTGAGTTCAACATGGGAGAAAGTGTATTGTTTCTGCAAGTGGATCTTTTTCATTATCATGGTGATTTAACACCTTGAAAGCAACAAAGTTTAAGAGCACATTGGAATGAAGCAGGGATGGCTCAGCGGGGTGAAATACATCTAGACTGAAATGCACTCGTCAAGACTCTCTATCTATCTGTCTCACACACACACGCATACACACAAACACCTCATATGCAGACAGAGCACATGCTAGCGGCAAACAGGAAAGCTGAGGCAGACGGGAAGTATTCATCATCATGGTGAGTTCAGAGTTCAGTCCAGTTCCTGAGTGTGGAACAGTGAATTAAGTGAGTGTGTGTGAGTGTCTTGTAGGTCAGTAAGTATTCAGGGATGCTGTTAACCACATCAACACCCAATGAGACGAGGCTAACTGTCAGAAATCAAGGCTGTAAACAAGGCTGAGGTCAGAGGTGAGCAGAGAAAGGGTTCACCCAGACGACCCCAGAGTAATGACTGGCATGAGGACGCCATTCAACGAGAGGCAGAAACAAAACCAAGACAGGATACAAAACATTCCAAGACTGAAGGTCTCCAGACAGTTAGTATTTGTTCAGTATTGTTAGTGTGCTTCCCAAACACAATGTCCTGACTCACTGAGCCAACTGAGTGGAAAAAAAGTGACACAATGACCATGAAAAACAAACAGACAGAAGACATTTCCTTCTTAGGTTACACATCATTTAAAATAACTAAGTCTCTGGTAAAAAGATAGAGGGAAGAATTTGTTCAGCTGGGAGAGTCATCTCACCTTTCGAGGTTTAATTTTGTCCTGGTGGTCATACTGAAAGATGCCTTTATAGCTCAGACCCAACCACCACGGTATCCCCTGCTTGTCCTAAAAAAAAGAAAAAAAACACACGTAGAAACAAGAAAAGACTTTAGGAGATGTTCTGAATATGTGTGGACACAAAGATAAAAAAGTACAAACAGTTCTCTCATATCTTTGAATCCATGCTGTTCCACAGTGAAACAAATGTGTTTGGTATGCGTGTGTATGCATGAAAAAAAAAGAGAAGTCAGAGTAGTAAAACTGTACCTTTACACCATAGTAATGTACTCCATATGTGGGCAGGGACTCCACAATGCTCATATAACTGTGAGGAGCAGAAAGACAGACATGTAAAGGTTACAAGGAAGACATTCGTTACACACAGTGGATAAACAAAACCACAAACACAAACACTTACTTAACAATAGCTTGTCCTCTAGACTGCCCATTGAGCTTCTTGTAATGCTCTATGACCCGCTCTTCACTGTAAGATAGAAGAATGAATAGAAAAAAGGGAAAATTGTAAAGAAAGGGAATACATGTGAAAAATACAGCTTGTGTCATCTTGTGGTGGTTTTCTGCAAAACAAACTTAGTGTCTCACCAGTAGGCCAGAGATGGGTGCTCCTTTAGGGCCTGGGTGGGCAGCGCAGGCAGCTTTTTTAGGTCAGACCTGGTTGCATCATTACTGGGAGGATAAAACCACGAGGCATGGTTAACATTACTTCAAGCAAGAACATTCATTTTCTTCTGTAGATCTTACAGTTTTCCTAAAATATACTGAGTAGGCAATAGCAAGGAAGAAGAAGTAGAAGTGAAAGACTGGTAGTAATAAGTAAAATAGGTCTGATCAAAACTTTATTTTTCCTAGAACTGTCTGGGAAACTGATTTTTTCTTTTAAATGGGGCAGTTTAATGTTGATAACTTGAATGGCATGTATTCAAGATACTGGTTTCTGTCCACCTCAGAACAGCTGCAGACACGCCCACTTTTGCAAACAGTAGAGAATTAATGAGCAAGGACACAAACAAGGAAGATAAAAAGGATATAAACATGAATGAGGAAGGTATAAGATAAAGACAAAAGACAGATTAAATGAGACAAGGGAACCATGCAGAGTGCCGACGAGACTTGGCCCAAGATTTAATTTGCAGGCCTCAAGTGGCAGGAGGTCTTAATGCACCACAATAATCCACTAGCCTTACTCTCAGAATCGGACCAAGGCCCCGAGAGGATTGGGGAAAGCCCTGGGAACATGACAACCTATGAGCTAAAGCCCTGGAAACAAGCCCATCCACCCTGTCCAGATGTTTTCTTGACATCTGACGACAGCTGCGGGCCTGGATTGAGTAATATCTGTTAAAGACAGCCTTCATTAGGTAAAGTGAATGCGCTTCTTTGACCAAATTTGGAAATTGTAGATGATGAAAGAGGCAAAGAAGACCTCCAATTGAACATTGAGCAATGGCAGTGTGATAAGTACATCTTAACAAGATCATTTTCAGACTCTGAAATGTAGAGACAGATTTGTTTTTGACTGAAAACTAGATCACTCAAAAAGATACATTAACGTAAAGTAAATTAATTTGCATACTGGGCATTTTTAAGAGGAGCAGCACTGACAAATATAGAGCAACTCAATACCAATGAGGGGGTACAGTGTACAGCTCTCTAGAGTTTTAAGAGCTGGGAGGTATGTGTGTGGGAGGATGGGGTTAAAAAAAGGGGGAAGGGGTGGAAGGAATGTCTCGAGAGTGTGTCACATTCCAGCCCCTCTGTAGGATTTTGTTTTATTTACTCCTTTCACCGGCGGAAATGAGGTCAGAGGAGATGGCTGCTGTACTCTGTTATCTCTGACTGCTACATTAAAGGGATGAAGGGGAAAGAATGATGACATACATTTAGGCCATTCACAGAGATGCACATCTAAGGAGCCACTTGTAGGATGTATTAGCGTGTTTGTGGTTAATAAAAGACCACGAAGACGAGTAATCAATGTTTTTTTTTCTCATGTGAAAGATTGAAACCAAAGTGGAATAGGGATGGCAGGATAGAAGGAGTGAGGGATGTTAAAGAAGCTCAGAAAAAAAATAGTGGAGTTGCACATCAATTATCAGAGGAGTAGACAGACCACTGTTATCACTTCTATTATCTCTTTCTCTGTCTGTGCCTCTCCCCTCTGAATCAACATGTAAACACATCAACCCATGTTTGTGAAAGGGAAATTAAAAGAGTGATACAGTTCTCTATTTTTTCTTCCAATGCTAATGAATTATTTTATCTCTTTTTGAAGTCAGTTAACTGTTTTTGTTGCTACTCCACAAACTGTGCTTTGACAATAGCCTAAACCTTGAAACATGCACATTACATATAGTCTCTAATATGCTTACCTGGTGAAATCACCTTTAGCCTCCTGTGAAACAAGAAAGGAATAGAGAGCAGAAAGGACAGTTTACTTTACTTATATGGATATGTGAGCACGGAGCAGTGACCATAAAATGTGTGTTTATGTTCTGTGTGCATAGGTGAATGAGCAGTGAGGCCTGCCGGGATGAAATCAGATAGAAAACATAAAACCTCATCTGGAGTGAAACATCTAGAGGCCCTACATAGCAGATACCCGATACTGTACATCTGCACCTGCATAGAGCAGACACACACACACACACACACACACACACACACACACACACACACACACACACATACCTACACACAGCCCAGTCAAAGTGTAACATGACCTTGCAGCATCTTAGTTAATGGACTGACCTACTCTGAGGAGGGATAGAAGAGGGACAGAGCTGCAGTCGAGGAGAATATGTGAAGTAAAGTAAAGTGTGTTCCTGCTGCTCTGTGTTCTATTAGCAGTGACTTACTGCGCCAAAAAATAAAGATGGTAGCCAAGAGCTCTGTTACTAACTAAGAGAACGGAGGCTTTTTGGATTTGGGGTCACTGCAGATAACTGACTGATAAAGGACTGAATCATTGTCAATAAAGAACAAAGAATGGTAACTTTGACCAGACCCTGAGTGTTTGGCTACTGGAGCTAATGGTTAAAAAAATGGGAATCCAGGCAAAACATCCACACTCACACACAAAACCAAACCACGCTGTATCTTACTTGGAGAATATAGGAAGCCAACTCAAAGACGACATCGCTGTCCACTTCAATGAGCTCCTGCATAGTAAAAAAGAAAAGAAAATAGAGGTCAGGGGGCCATGAACAACACATCTCATACTGTTAGCAGCAAGTAGATAGGTAGCACAAACACTGCGGCGATGTCGGCAGTGGTTCTGATCATGGTTGGAATTGGCTCTGATCATCACTCCTTAATTCAAGATGGGTTGGTGGTTTCTTTCATCACCCCACCACTACCCCCTCCACTTTTCCCCGCTCCCCTCTCTAATTTCATGACCTCTCTGTGAAGATTGAGCTCACAGATTAGAGGAAAGAGAAGGGGGGTTGGGCAACAGGGTTTAGATGGTTAAGGGAAGAAATAAATGCTCTGATTACTCAGTTCATTTCTATAAGTGTATTTCATGAACTTAAGTTTTTAAGTCATTATTTTGTGGAAATTTGGACCTAGGGTTAAGGTAGAAACTGCAGAGTAGGATGTAAGGAGGCAGGAAAAGAATAAGTGTGAATAATAGAATTCCTTTATGTGAGAGGCTTAATGACAAATTGTTCCTTAATTGCTCTCACAATCTTTCCATTGCGTGGAAATGAATGTGGGTTTTATGTTTTTGCATGTTTTCACCAACCATGTGCATGGACTTATAGAGGGGATACTATGTATCCATCGAGTTGGGGGAGGATGAGGGTTGGTGGGCAGTGAGTAGTGAGTAGTGGGTCAAGTATGCCAGGAATGTTCCCTTTACAATCCACCTCTTAATTGGTTGGAGATCAGACAGCCACGATGAAACACTAGACAGAACAAACCCACCCCGAGTGTACCACCCAGTGCGGCTGCAAGTCGTCACATACTGTGTGTTATTTTACTGTCTGTGTTCCCACAGCACAGCAGAAACCTCTCATCACTCATACAGACCCTACTGCAGAAGGGTCAACTACTATGGTTAATCTACTGTAAACCCAGAGCATGATTTCTTAAAAAAAAAAAAAAAAAATCTCCCTCTTATTCCCCACCTTCCATCAATGGTGAAGCAGGTGAGAACTGGTATAGAGATCCTTAACACTGAGGTATAATTAATGTTCCTATCAGGGTGATTTTTGGCAAATGAAAGGAAAGGAGTTGGATATATTCTCTACTTTCTTTACTTTTATTAAATAGGTCCTTTTAAATCCCAGTGTCTCTAAAAGCTGTGCTCAAACTACACCATCTTCAGCTTCCAATAAAATCCTGTATTTTTTTCCCTTTGGATAAGATTTGCTAAAAATAATAATAATAAATTCAAACATTCACTTCAACTACATTTCGCTCATTCAAACACGTTAACATACAGGTAAGAAGAACTTTGTCTGTGTTCATCAGGGATGAACTTACCACTGCTGTAAGTAAAGAAAATATGGATCTATAATTATCACAGCTTCCTACAGGTTTTAGGTTTAAACTGGGACATTTCAGACTCATTATTTTCTGTACTTCCTGCCATGTGCGCCCTCTTCTGGACATGACAAGTAACTGCAGTAGTGAGTAGGTAACTGTAGTTACAAACTAAAAACAATATGAAACATAAACAGTTCAAGTCACTGTCAGAAGAACATACAACTGGCCCTATCTGATGGGGATGTTGTAAGTCAATGACCAAAAAAATCAAATGTTTAAAGAATATATCACTTTGGAAATATTGCTGTCAGTGTTTAATTAAAAGCCTTATTTAAATCACAGCTTTAGGAGTAAAAAACAACGTGTTTCACTGACAGATGGCAGCAAATGTGGCAAATAATTTGCTAGTTTTTAAAATTGGAGCTGCAGCATGATGTGAACAGCTGATAAAATGGTTTACATGTTCTGCTTCATCAAGTGTGTATGCATCCCCAACCCTTGTTTCACATCTTAAAAATGACAGTATTGCTATACCCGACATGTAAAGTATTTACAGTAAAATACACCTTTCTTCTTTCATTCAGTTTTATCAACATTATTAGAAATGTGCTCTTCAATGATTATGAATTTTACCTTGTAGATGATGGACTTGGCATTAAGAAAAAATAGCTCAATAGTGGCATTATCCTTCAGATAGGATATACTCTCGATGTAGAACCTGAAAAAATAGAGGAATTAACTTCAATATTTTTGCAAGAGAAACATCAACCAGGAAAATGTTGACTTTCAATCACATAAAAAAAACTGTTGGGGTTATTAAAAAAAAAAAAAATCACACTCATAATATGAGAGAATGAATTAGTGATTTACATTATGATATAATATTCCTGTGCAAAGGAGACACATAGAGTGCAATAACCAAAGTGACCAGAGGGGGGCACAACCGCCATACAAAAAGACTGACCCCCGTATATCACCATCTTTTTTCGCTCCCCATTTAACCAATTTTCTCTCTCACCATGGTAGCTGGCAATGATCCATTATTAGTTTGTTAGTGTGAGCACATTCCACACTAATCACACACACAAACACAAACACACACACACACACACACACACACACACACACACACACACACACACACACCACACACACACACACACACACACACACTAGCCCCAGCCACCCAAATGGTTGAATGTGCACATGATGCACTTCACACATTGTCTGCCTCTCTGCATCATCAGCAGTGTGTAGGAATTCCACATGCAAAATACAGTACACACACACACACACACACACACACACACACACACACACCACACACACACACACACACACACACACACACACACACACACACACACACACAGAAGCAGACACATACTGGAGAGAGAGCAGCACAGTAACCCACTTCTGGCAGAGTGTTGAAGAGGGAGCTAACATAATAATGCAGCCTAAATTTAGCTCATGAATGCATGCAGAGCCAGAGGGGAGCTAGGATGGAGAGCTAAATCACACTAAACAAGTTCAGTGTACAACTTGAAATACATCTAGTTATTTTTAATTCAGCCTTAGCACGTGTTACTGTGAACACTACACAAATGAAAGTGTTGATTTTCCTGCTTATGAGTGTATAGATATTGAGTTAGATGGATTGTGAGAGGATCAATATTCAAAGGGCTTAAATCGCGTTACACATTGAGCAGAGCGAGATTGAGAAGAGCCTTGTCAATATTCAGTGTGAACATTTAATTAAAGGCGCAGTGTTGATGAGACTGTCAGCGCAGTGAGGGACCCACTGAATCAGCAGGAGGTGGGCATCAGAATAGCCTTTACTTGGAAAACATTCATCACAAGATACAACACAAGACATACAGTACATGCACCTGCACAAAGACACGCATTCAAAAAGAAAAACTTATATTGTGCTATCAAAAACAATGTGCTCAGATAGATAATGGATTCCAGTGTTTCCCCTAGGTTTACAGCGTTGGGGGGCGGGGACAAGCCGACACGGCGACACGACGACACAAACACTTGAAGGAATCTTTGTGTTCATGTGTTACTTTTAATGACAGCTGTCCTTTTCTATCGGAAAGGTATCCTTAAATGACTTCTTTCCCTGATTTCTGACTCTATCCACTATCCTATCCCTACAATAAAGGCACAAAAAGCGGGCCGTCCCCCCAATATAATGGTAGGGGAAACACTGGATTCAAGTTTGACATTTGGGATGATTGTTCTTCCATTTCAGATCTGCATTTATGGCTTGTTATGTGCATGTGTGTTGACGATATAAGCGGCGTGTGTAAATGTTTGTGTTTGTGAGGGGGGATGTGGCGGAGCCGGTGTGACATTTGGAGAGAGCGAGGTTAGTGATTGGACGGCGATGCAGGAGGAACGTGGGGGATGAAACCTCTAAAATGGTGTCAAAGTTCACGATGTCAGAGCACCGACACCACATCTTCAAACACCTATTAGTCCGAGTAAATACACACACAGTGACCCTCACCCTGACGAGGCCCACCACCATCCCCACAGAGAAACTGTACATGATCGTTTTATATGGTTTTATTGTTGATTTAAGATTATAAGAGAAGTAACTCTTAGGGGTCTTTAAGTAGTCCGATATTTCAATTTGACTTGTTTTACATTCAATTTTGAATGGTGGCTCCAAACAACTTGCACTGGCGGCTATGCTTACACATCAATGCTCATATTATTATTATTTTTTTATATACTTTTATTGCAATACATTAACGTTTCCGATCATTGTACTTACACATATTTGCAACATTTTTTTCATATTTTTAACACCCAGTGGTGAAAAGGAAACAATACATAGAAATATATACACAGTATGCAGATCCAATGCGAACATTATTAAGACAATAGCTTAACTATTACTATTAACTTAGTGGTTATGTTGCATGCCCCATGAACAGAAGCTGTAGTCCTCAACCAAGTGGCTGTTGGTTCGAATCCAACCTCGGGCCCTTTGCTGCATTACATCCCCCACTCTCTCCTCCCAACCTTTCCTTTCTCTCTTCAGCTGTCCAATCCAATAGAGGCGTAAATTGGCCCCCTAAATAAATAAACATAAACAAATGCTATACCCATTATGTAAATGAATACAGCTGTAAATGGCCTATTCTATTTGGATTAGGCTTCATTAAAGCATCTTTTCCAACTCAGACATGCAGGCTACGAAAATGATTATATTATGGGAGCATTCTCTGGACATGTAAACAGCAAATTTCAGAATCCCTTTAGTTATTTCTTTTTAAACGGCAGTTTGCCTCATACTTCTTCTTGCTTGTTTCATCTAAACTATACACAAAACTAAACATATAACCAACAGCTTGCAAAGCAGGGTTTATCCAGAGAGTAAGGCTGCGAGTTCACAGAAATATTAGTAAAGTAAATATTTTCATTAGCCATTTAAAAGTATATTAAGAGTATGCTCTTTTTGTAAAAGATGTCAAAACCAAGACATCATGTTCATAGAAATAAACTGATAGAACCACAAAACCTGCTTTTCATTTTGTTGATCAAAAAAACCAAAAGACTTGGCTCCCCTTGTAACTAAATCTCACCGCACTTTTATCAGGAATAGTAGAGATGACCATAACAACATTAATAGCAACTTAATTTACTCATCTGTTCATCTTTGATAGAATCGGTGCCCAACTGAACAATGGCGTCTTTGTTCATGGAATAGAATGAACAATAGGTTTGACTGCTAAGAATACAATTTTCACTATGCAGTCACTGTGTTGTGTGAGCCTGGAGCTGTGCTGAAGATGTCAATCAGGAAATGACTACTTAGTGACATTGTTTGGCAAAAGTGTTGTGCGTCATGTTGCTATGTACGTTGCTAACCAAGGCTCGGTCAACGGGGGTGTTTATGACATCATAGAGATGTGTTGGGTAGAGGGAACAACCAGTGGATCATAAACAAGTCTTTACCTTTCACAGAGAGCGAGTGTGTGTGTGTGTGTGTGTGTGTGTGTGTGTGTGTGTGTGTGTGTGTGTGTGGCATAAATAAGTTGGGGAGGGCTGTGTACTTGTTCACTTGTTGAGAGCAGAGAAATTGCCTCCCAGGTCGGGTTCGTTTTTTCTTTTTTTTTCTCAATAGCCAACCTGAATACCCACGTAGAAGCACACACACACACACACACACACACACACACACACACACACACACACACACACACACACACACACACACACACACACACACACACACACAAACTACACTCAAACAGGCACTCTGTATTTCTGTCACATATACACACAATCCAGTGCCCTGTTTGGGATTCAGGAGAGTTTAATATATGAGTGGGGCTATTGTATTAGGAGTTACAGGGCTGGGTGAGGAGTGTGACATTGTCGTGTGATTTAATAACCCGGCCACAACAGGTCATAGAAGAGAGAGAGGGCTTTTTAACTGACTCCAATACAGCTTCAGCAAGAAGTGCACGAATGCCTCATGCTAGGTTGCCTTATATGAGTATGTTTTAACCCTGCTAAGCACAATGAAACCTTGAAAAAATATTTTTTTACAACAGTTCTTGTAAAATTGCTGCAGCATAAAATGGCTTGTTCAAATGTGAGTCCCTAAGAGGAAAAGCATTTTGTTGTAATGTCTGGAGTACGGTAATTTGCAGTAAGTACAAAGCTATTTGATGGGATTTGCATTCAGTGCATACGAGGCCAATCATGAGCCGCGATTGGCTCAGAGGCCCTCTGGTAGAAGTTAAACACCTGGGTCAAGGCAATTTCATTGGGGCCTGTCATAACTAACCTTGTTTATCTGTTTCTATTAGTACGAGAAGAAGGCATTTGCATACACAGAAACATAAACAGACACACACTGCATCCATCTTTCTTTCTCTGCCACACATAATGTGTGTGTGTGTGTGTGTGTGTGTGTGTGTGTGTGTGTGTGTGTGTGTGTGTGTGTGTGTGTGTGTGTGTGTGTGTGTGTGTGTGACTCACCTGACACAAAAGTAGAGCATGATGGGGCCAGACTTCTTGGGGAACTCGTGTTCTAATACCCTGCGATCCAACTGCAGCCAACTAAAATGGCCCCTGATGGACAAACAACAAACAACTGGTCATTATACTACTCAAGAGAGTTCAGAGTATTCATTCAGGGTTCACAAAACTTCATCTCACGCAACGCTTTTTCTGAAAGCCTCCCCAATATATATTTTTTCCAGTTCCCCCCATTTTCCCATTTCTGCCCCTCTGTTCCGCCCCAACCTCCTCTCCCTCTCTCTTCTATCTTTTCTCTCCCTCTCCAACAGAGAGAAAAAAACTGCAGAGACAGCTTGTCACCCTGGTAACCCTGCATGGTCTCCTGAGCAACTGAGCAACATCTCTCTCAAACTCTCCCTCCTTCTGTCTCGGCCTCTGAATCTCTCTTTTCCCTCTTCTACCTCCCAAACAGCCTCTTTGACCACTGAACGGTCAGAGCTGAGGTGTCTGCTCTCCCCAGCAACAAATCTACACATCATAGAATTAGACCCTGGGGGGGACTGAGACTGCAAAGGCTATTTTGCTGTGCTAGACAGACACTGGTGACAGTATATGTCAGAGCCATGTAAATGCCATAGTGCAGAGGGCATCCGTGAGTGCATGACATAAAACAAAATAAAAACATGGAAAACAAAGGCCATTGGAAAGTTTGCCTGTATGTAAATCATTTGTATGTTTGCATGACTAGTTCTGGACAGTGCTGTGGCGAGCCTGTCTTTCTAGGTCACCAAACACTAAAAAACAAAATTTGAATGTCATTTTTGCATTTCAAGCACAGTTCTGGAAGCAAACCCCTCTGGCAAACAAAGACTTGTGATCTTTTTGAACTCATCATAAAATCAACATATCGCTGTAACCTTTTATATTCAGGGATCTAATCACACATATCAGTTTATGGATCAGTAAAATATGCATTATTTATAGACTTTGTTTTATTTTGACCAGAATGCAGACAGCCATTCATGCAAAAATTCATTTTCATTTGTTTACGTAAAAGAGACAATCTTTAAGTTGAATGTGACTTTTTAAATTCAAGAGACATTTTGAACTAAATAAACCAACACAAAATGTAACAGTGTTGAAATACCAACTGAAAGACCTAAGCCACTACACTTTAAGATTTTTAAAAACAGTATTTAAAGCTCACACAAGCAGCTGAACCCTGCAGTTTACATGCTGGCACTTCTGCACTAAGACATGGAAACGCATAAGGCTATTGTTACCTTGCTACCGATTACCCTGAATATGTGGTAAAAAAAAATGTTCTATTTGTTTTTGATTTCTTCACAAAGGTCAGGAAGTGAGGAACATTAATTTTCTTAAAATTGACAAAATAAATTATTTGCAAAACAAATTGATCTTTAACATGACAAGTGGAAGCATTTCTCAAACATTAAGCCCAAAGCAGAAGTCAGTTTATCAAAGTTCGACTATTAGGAAGACACCAAAAATGCAACAACATATAAGATAATTTTGATTTCTCCCATTTCAGCATCTGAGTATTATCGTAATCATCTAAAAGTGAGCAGAAAGTTGGCTTTCTAAAGTCTTTAAATGCAAATCCATTCGGTAAACTCAGTCTAGTGGCCTTTTAGTTTTGCACATTAGCTCATATTGTTCCCCCAAAAACATTGATTTAAAGTCTGCTTTCAGTTTAATTTGTCCCAATTGTTGCTTCACCATTTACACAGATAAAAACTGAGTAAAAAGTTAGAGTGTTATGGGGCTAAAAATCAGGACAATTATGAATCCTCTGCTACTCATAATACCCATTGAAAGTTACTTTTCAATATAAATACGATAGGAAAATGACTTACGTTTCGTCTGTGTATGCAATGCCAAAGTACTCCTTCTCCTTGAGGTTGAAGTGAGAGGCCACAAGGTCCAGCAGGTCCTTAGCCATCAGCTTGGGCTGCAGGGAGACAGAAATATCAGCATTGCCCTATTTGTTGTATCTTAAATTGTGTTTGTGTGTAGTGGTTTATCACACCTTAGTTTAATTGGAACAAGTAAATGTGCAAAAGGCTTTATGTTGGTATGCTATCAGCTATTGATTTCTTGCAATGACTTAGCATTCTGGCTAACACGTGGGGAAAAAGAGGAAAAGAGCCAGTGAAGAGGAGATAAATGAGAGAGAGAGAGAGAGAGTGTGTGAGAAAGATGGATGGAGTGTGTGGATGTTGCTGACAGTGCAGGTACCCTGCCCTTCCCCTCCCTCCCTCTCTCCTTTCCGCCTCTCTGACCCACAACTCTACTGCAGAGTCATGGCTCTGGGCTCAACCGCTGTATTGCAGGGAGAGGGCTGCAGTTAGCACAAGAGCTCGCTGGCAATTTAATGCAACCTCTGTTCATCACAACACTCATGTAGCATCTTAAAGCCAAGCAGAAACCATGGAACTGATGCCATATGCTGCTGGTTTGTGACATCCTGAGCAACAGAATGCTCCACCCTGAGGTTAACCATGGGTGTGCCGTGCTGCCTACATTTTCATTACACACATACATAAATCTGCATGCACATTTGACCAAACCCAAAGCACACACTCAACATACAGGAGGAAGGCATGTGCTATGTACATACAGAGGAGATGGGCCAAAGAGAAAATTCAACATAACACTCAGACACACACACACACATTTATGTGAAAATCTTCCCCCGAGGTCCTGTGCTATCTACGTACTGCACAACTCCAGTCACAGCTACTGGGAGCTATTTAAAGAGAAGGAGGTGATGTCATACAGAGAGAGACACACATGCACACGCACACACACACACTCCAATGACCTAAATCTCATGTAAGCGCAACGCCTACAGTGATCCTGCAACACAAAAAGGCTCTGGAGAGAATGGAAGCTATGGAGGGAGCTTGAGGAGAAGCTCACATATAGGTCGCCTCTGCCTGTGTTAGACTTACAGCAGATCAAAGTGTTAAATCGAGCACAGCATGGCTCCTTCAGAAAGAGACGTTTATGCCTACGTGTTGAGGATGCGTCAGGATATTACTGAGAACAAACTTCAAAATGCATATTTACATCAGGAATAATTATAACTTCCCATCTTACAAACATATATTAGCAGTAATACATGTTTTGGTTCAACAAAGAGTCATACAGTTGAACTCTCTTATTACCAATCAGCTGTTTACTGTGTTGGCAACAGTATCAATTAAACTACACCCACTCCACCACGGTATATTCAACAATGAGCAGGGGAACACACAGAAGGAGCACACATGTGGACGCACAAATTGTCGGAAAAGTACAAGGACAAGGCACACGGGCAAGCATGAAGGGTGTGACTGAAGATAAGGAAGCGAAAGATTCATTAAGCTTAGGTTCTCTCCGCAATGTTGTTGTGAATACCGAGGAGATTATAGAAAAAATGTGAGACGCATTTGATTGCATGATTGAGTCTCCCTTTCAGTTTAGAATAACTCCTTAGACATGTGAACACAAGTTGAAAAGATGTTGAAAAGATGTTGCAGTGAAATGATGTTGGGGAAGAGTCCAGCAGTGATACTGACAGTGTATGACAGTTACATACTAGACAGACAGATACACACACACATTTATAATACAACACAGTTATACATAACATTTAGACTACCACAGACTATACAGACACACACACACCAAATATACACACTGTGAAGCAATCTACCAGACAGTAAAGCTTTCTGATAGCTTAGACAGCATTACGACTAATAGACAGTTAGCCTGTGCCTCCTCAGCAGCACAGGTAATTAACAGTATAAGAATTACAGGGAAGGTGCGAGTGAAGAGGAGACATGCTAAGCAAACTTCCAGACAAGTGACAAACACACAACAGTAGCTCACTGTGCTGGCTGGCAGAAAATCACAATCCAATCTTTGCAAACAGCTAGCAAGGCCCTTGGCGCTTTTTAGGACCTCCCAGATTTATTGAACTGATTTTTCAGTGGCAAGTCTTTAAGAGTCCAAGACGCGGTGAGGAAAAGGTCTTCAGCCTCCTTGCCTTGCATGTTTTACTCTTTTGATTAGTACTATATATATATTGTAGCCTCCAACAACCCTACAATAAAACATTTTCAATGTGCCTTCACTTTAACATCGGCGTTAACAGTAAAGCTTTTAAACAACTTAATACCCAGTTCACTGATAACCTTACACCGCTCTAGCCTCAGGGAGTGAGAGTGGTGCATTTGGTGGTTAGCCTCCATCTTTAGGACCTGGTCAATAGGTGTAGGCCTTCTGGTGCATAGTTCTCTTCCAATGAGGCATGGCTCCATAAACTAACCACAAAGGGTTCACAATAAAAACAGGAGGAAATGGATGAGGAAGAGGAAAAGGAGGAATGACACTTTTGGGATTAAACAGCTGGTTGGTTTTAACAGAAAGAGATCAGACCTTCCTGAGGCTATCTAGCTGACAACGGGTACAGGCTTGACCACGCTACTGTTATTAATCAGTAATGAAATAAAGAAGAAGCCAAGTGGAATTGCATCAATACTTAAAAAAACACAGCTGGTTTATCATCAATCCCTCAAGAAATCCTTTTTTAACGGATTAATGGAGGTCCTGACTGAATGTTGGTTCACCACAAAACTAAGAATAACATTGTCATTTCCTGTGGACCACTGCTGGCCGACTGCACAACCTCGAAGAGAGAGGAGCAAGGATAGAGAGAGAAGAGAGAGAAGACAGCAGTATCCGGATTTATATGACAAGGGTTTTCAATAACATCCCCATTTCTGGACTTTCTGTCATGTCTTGTTAAAACATTGTCAAACTAAAAATACCAGTGGTTACAATGTCTATATTATACTGAACCACTGACATCTAGTAGTTGTAAAACAATTTTCACAAAATTTGCAGACTGAGAAGGAGACAGAGCCATGGACAGACAGGTAAAGGCAAGATATGGAGAGTTAAGTGTGGAGATGGAGAGACAGAGAGAGACAGTAAAAGAGTGGAAGAGGAGCAGAAAAAAAAGTGACAATTTGTAAGAGAGGATCAGTACTGGTAGAGTAATCAAATCAGAAAGTCAGCAGACCTCTCCTCAGCTCTCCCCTCCATCTTCTCCTCTCTCTCTCTTCAGTCATCTCCTGACTCTCTTTTCCTGAGCTCCTGTCTCACTTTTCTATCAACCTTTCATCAACCTCCTGAAATTCAGCGTCAATCTATTCTATTCTCTTTCTATTCTCTGCTTGCTTTTCTTATCCTGTTCCGCAGGACAATTACCCTCTTTTGTCTTTTCTCCTTTCCCAGTAGAGGTGGGTAATAGTCAGAGCAAGAAAAATAAGGGCTAAGGGAGGGTTGTAAAGAATTGAAAGAGCTTCTGATGAAAATGCTTGAGAGGGCTGTTATAGATGACTAAAGGGAATTTTAAACAACAACCAATGAACAGAGAAAATGAAGGCTGGTGTTGCTGTGAAAAGAGAGCCACACCATTGGGTTGATGTCTGATATAAGAAAAAACAAGATCATATTCCTGCCAGTAGAACAATCAAAAGACGCACGGTGCTTTAAATTGTTATTTGAGAAGGGAAGAGGCTTTCAATGGAAAATGAGGGAGAGACGGGTGTGTTATGGGTGTTGCTCCTGCCTTTCGGTCATTACCACAAAAAGGTCTGCTGGGAGGATGGAAGGCTGAGAGTAGGAGGAGGGGCTTTGTTGTTCTCAGATGTGTATGAGGAGATGGAGCATTGTCAACAACAGCAAGATGGGTGATGAAGAATAAGTATAGTATAAGCACGAGTTATAGGGTAAGAAGTAGTTCCTGTTTAAGACACCATTTGGACTAGGGATGAGCATGTGTGTGTGTGTGTGTGTGTGTGTGTGTGTGTGTGTGCAAAGATCAGGTGAGCACCAAGAAAAAGCAAAGTCACCTACTGCTGACTGAATTTCCCTAAGTCAGCAGTGAACGCCTCCCTTGAGACACCAGACATCACTTCTCTCTCACTCTGAGGAAATAGGAGTGTGCAAAAAGAGAGAGAGAGAGGGAAGAAGAAGAAAGAGTGAGGACGGGTGGAAGTAACAGAGACTCACCTGTACAAGGAGCTCCAGCTTCCTGTCATCCAGGAGATGGACCTGACATCGCCTTCCCTCTGTCATCTGAGAAAAAACAAACCAAAAGGAAAGGGGATGCTTGTTAATTTTGTTTGTCTATAAAAAACACAACAAATATAACTTGCCACACCACAACAGAACAAATGCATAAGAGACATGCACATTTTATATTTCAGTCTTGAAGGCTTTATATGCGATTTTTTGATCCAGCAGATGTCGCCCTTGAGCACCAGCATGAAACCAAAACAACTTGCGCTGCATTGTTGTGTTAGCATGCTAATGCTAGCGATCTTTATTATGCTGGTATCTTCACACTGCATGTAAATTTACCTGAAATGAGCGTGATCTAGAAACACAGTTAAGCAGTGAGTACAGTATGTTATTCTTCTTTTCTCTAGTCCCTCAATTAAACAACTTTTATACACAAGGGGAGGAGTCAGCCAGCCGTCCAGGCGATGTAAACAAAGTGAAGATAGGACTCTGATATACTTGATTTCTACATTTAAGTGTGGAAAATCACATAGAAAGCCTTTAACTGAAATATAAAAGTCTTAAACAGGTTCTAAGCTATCAACACACAACAGAGCAACAGAGACAATGTCCTTTGCTGATCTCTTCCTCAGGGGACATTTCTAGCATTCCTCCTTAAGCAGGAAATCCATTATTCCTCAGTGACCAGCATGACTAAAGCTGCCAAGCTGCCAGTGAACAAGTTTCAGAGGAGTGTTTGTCTCTGTTAATACAAGGCTTGCTGAATAGTGCTGCAAAAAAAAAAGATGTCCGCCTGCCAAGTTCAGGCATAAACACTGAAGCAGGTGCAATAATGAAACAGTAAACTGTGGGACGTACACACACAAGTTAGACCAAATATCCAAACATGTCTTAAAGGTTGCTTCAGCATCATAAAACTCCAATGGAAACAAGTCGAAACCGTAATAATTCACCGCAGAAATGAATTCAAACATTTCAAGAAAAGATGTACTAACTGTGCCAGAGTATTCCACATCTGTTTTTGAGTATGTTTGTATGTGTGTGCTGGTGTTTTCAGCACATGTGGAGTTTCTCTGCAAGTTAACAGGAAGCAGGGGACCCCGAGGAACACAAACACCCCCCTTGGCTCCTCCCTCACTTCCCTCACATCTGGGAGATGGAGAGGGAAGCCAGGAGGATTGGGTTGCTGTGTGTGGGATGGATGCGGAAGGGTATGACATTTTGGTGAAGAGAGAATGAAACATCCTCACTTTTCAAACATCTGATGAGAACTCCTTCCAAAAACACAAACGGCATAAACACGAGCACAAGCGTAACCGGTTTGTAACTCTTCACCGTGGGGATCAAATTGACCACCTGAGGCTCTTGCAATTTGGTAAGGGTGTGTCCACAACACGAGCACGACTAACTTTCCCACCACTCATGCCAGCTTTGCATTAAGGTGGCAGGTTGGAGGTGAGAGTTTAGCAGAGAGATGTAGACACCGAAAAAAGCAAAGTAGAGGAGTAATGACAGGGCCGTCTCAAAACTCATCCATGTGTGAACTCATCCCAGAGTGACTACTGGGTTGTGTGCAAACGTGTGTGGCTTCTGGATACTTTTAAGGGTTCAGTTTACCCTCCCACTCGCCATTGATCTCCTGTGGTTTGAGGGTTTAGATTGGGTGCACCTGTGCACACAGTGACACAGACACACACACACACACACACACTCTTAGATTTTCCAGTGTAGGCTTTTGTTTTCATCTCCCAGTCTCCTGTGTTGGAGTTGTATTAGTATTCCATGTTTACACTGTTGAATACTGACAATAATTACTACTATGACTAATGGATAGCAGTAGGTCAGTGTTGATCAGTGTATTTAACAAAGCATGAGAAGTGCATTGTAAATAAAGTATGTGCACTGTTATAAGATGGTAAGCAAATGTCTCATTTCTGACCCTGGAGGAGAGGAAAAAGACTACATTTACCAAACTTCTCTCTTTAAATATCATGTCTGCAATACTGCACACACACATGTCCATTGCATCCTGCTCTCTAGACACCTGGGAATAGCACAAACCTTAACGTCAAGGTAACAAATCACTGGCTGGAGGCTAAAATTAGGCAGCCCAATCTGGCAGAGACAGATGCTTATTGGTTTTAGTCGTAAAATTCACTTTGTGGTTATATGTGACCACCATTAAACCAAATGTAATAAAGTTCCTAGTTAGCTCTTTTCTTCACTGGACAGGGTTGAAGATAGGCTCCATTTCATTTTAATGCAATAGCTTATTCCTTCAGCATGAGACAGTTAAGTCAGGTAGGCTATATAACACATTGGTCTTTTTAAGCAAAGTAACCACTGTAAGCGTCTTGGCATTATAACCTCTGTTGTATGTTGTAATAATACAATGTGGTTCCAATGACAGGCAGGTTAGCTAGGCTACATCAGCTTGTTCTGCTGTGTGTGATTCATGCCCTGTTATCCTCCAATATTTCTGACCCATTAGCTACTTAAAACTGGCAAACCTTCGTCTTCAAACCTGACAGACCGGCAAGAAACGAGATAAAAAAAATAGATACAAATTAACCCTGTAAAAAAAAAAGAAGCAGCAAATGGTCACATTGTTGCATTATGTTTCTAGAGGCACACACACGCACGCACGCACACACACACACACACACACACACACACACACACACACACACACACACACACACACACACATAAACACAGTTGACAGTGATGCTCGGTCAGTGCTAGCGACAGAACAGCAGTAATGTTATCATTTAGTTACCTTGCAAATAAAAAGGCTCACAGCGAGGCTCCAACACAAAAAAAACAGACTCAAACAAAAAAAAAAAAAGCAAAATTATTAATCCCAAAAAGAAACGAGTCGTGTTACTGCCAGAAAATCGTCAAAATACACCCCTTTTCCCGGCCGGCCTAGGGGAGGAGGCACATCAGCATCCATGTTAGTGACCATTAGTTAACGTTAATTACAAGGGACGCTTCCTCTATCCTCTCTACGTCACAGAGCCGTTACATTTCACATCCCCGCCATTCAGGAGGCGATAATTAAAAAAACGAAGCGTTGAGTGTTATTTTCCACACACACAAAAAAAGCTTGCTTTCCTCCTTTTCCTTCCGAAAAGCAGAAAGAGAGCTTCTCTTCTCACGGTGCTATAGTCCCGGTCGACCAACCCCTCCTCCTCCTCCTCCTCTCGCTACCGGCAGGCACCGTGCACAACAAACGGATAGCAGATAGGAGACCGTACCACCGGTCAGCAACCGAGGGGAGAAATTAAATGTCCGACTGGTCGTGGACGTAGTGCCTCCACTTCCCTGCTAATGTTTCTTTGCTTTGCTGTCACCGGAGTTGCTTCGAAAACACGGGAATAATGGAGGCAAGATGTGGGGGCGGGGAGAGGAGGAGATATGGGGAAATTTTCTGCAGCAGCAGCTCACAGCCATGAGACGGAGAAGCTGCAGACCGCTCTCTTCCCCTCTCTCTCTCTCTCGCTCTCTCTCTCTCTCTCTCTCTTCCTCCATGTATTTATAAAGGCTATGTGTATGTTTCTGTGTGCTTACAAACCGAAACAGACATCTGTGTCTACAGATCACACCAATTATCTGCCTTTTACACAAGTGATGCACTGCTGATAAATAAGAATGAGCAGTCGACATGCAATTGAATCAGCTGTTCTTTGAAACAGGCTTTGTGGGGAAGAAACATCCTATCCTCATATGACTTTGACAGTAGTTTTGTGCCAAGCCTATAACATGCACTGTACAAAAGGCCTATTTTAACAGACTTTCATGGGCCTAAATTATCTAAAAGAATAAGAGTTTTAGTTAGATCTTAAAGTGCCCAGCTGGTTTGGTCTCTCTCTCTCTCTCTCTCTCTCTCTCTCTCTCCAGGACATTACTTACTTGCATCTTTTAAAAACACACATCGCCTTTGCATGTACAGTTGGTTAAAGCTTCCTTTGAATGATTCCTGGCTCCTTCAGTCCTGCAGCCGTTAAGACTGTCTCTCTCTTTTTTTTTTTTCTCTATGACCTAAATTGGGCTCTTGTGTTCACCTTCTGCAGCTGGAGCAGCAGCCGTTGAAACCACAAGTTGTTAACGTAACAAAAATCCGTCCAGTTTTTTTGGTAGGCTTCTATAAATAGATGCTAATGTTTTTTTTCTCTGGAGAAAGCCTATACCTGCTGTCAATAATGTATCTGAATGACTCGGCAAGTGTAGGCTTGTCTGCTTTTATTACAATAATCCTCCATGTTATGAAAACAGTGTGAGGCCCCCTGATATGCACATTATGCATTCACACCTTCTGCCAAGATATCTGCATAAAAAATTACAGATGTGCCTATCTATGTAGGACTGTAGGCCAATCATGCATTTGTTTTTTCTGAGCCATATGCAGTTGAAACATTGCAGGCAATCGTTAATCTTTATTTTGCAGGATTTATGAGAAATGATCTCTTTTCCAGACATTAGGCAACATGAAGACATAATTACATTTTACGAGCCTGGATTAAGCAAGTTTGTTGGGACATAACCTTACGCTGTAAGCCCAAAAATGCAGCTTAGTTATTAGCTCAATGTCACATGAGAAAACGAGGAGGTGTATCCGCTCTCCTTCTGATGGATTTTTCTGTTTCTGGATATTTTTGGCCTGTTCCAGACACCGGAAACATGGCCTGTTCAACTTAAATATCTCCAGATGACTCTTTTGTTTTTGGCTTTGATACATACACCCGTTCCTTCTTAACATTCTCCAGTAATACATATCTCCCCCTTTATTGGATGCTTCCTCACTTTGCTATCAAGGTCCCATGTGTTTGAATTGCAAGGGGGAGTGAAGCGGGCAATGCAGAGACAGAAGTGGAGAGCTAAAAAAAAATAGCAGTAAGAAGATTCTGAAGGATGCTGTTTGGAGTGGATTTGAGGAGATCCAGAGAAACTGAATTAGAGAGAGAAAGGAGGAGAAGGAAGAGAGGAAGCGGGGCAGGAAGTAACAATAAACATGATGTGATTTATTGATCCTCAGTGTCCCATGCTCACAC